ATTCTGGTTCGACTCCCGCAAGGGTTGTTGATAAGACTTATTCGATGTCGAAAGTCCAGTCCACTCAGGAGGATAACAACTTTTGGGAAAGTAAAGCTATATGGAATTGAATGGAAACGTCAGATATATTCATATCACTGGGGGAAAATTCAACTACCAGTCCTTCAGCACGTTAAGCGAAATGGGCTGAATACAACATCTCATATGAGATAGGTTGGTTTCAAACTGGTAGGTTTGCAGAGTTTAGAAAGTGTGCAGTGAAAGTGAAGTTAAGAGAGGCTATTGAAATGAATTGACTCGGAACTAAGTTGAATGAGTATGAACCACTTATGCTTGATTGATAGATTGAAAGAGAGAGAGGATGTTGAGCCATCGTTCCAAAGAAGGAGTGGTTATGATTGGTGGAATCGTAACTTGACATACACACAAACTTACATCTCATCATCCTAAACATAATTTCTAACGGGCTTACTCATTCTCGGTACAGGCTTTTTCTTTGCTCATTAAGCTCTGATGACGAGTGCCTTTCTCATCACTCTGATTTGTGACTGGTATTGTGTATAGTCATTAGCATACAAATACACACACACAAACACACAAATGCATGCATATACACACATACCCTAGCAAAAGTAGCAGGACCAGTATGAAAGATAATTAACTAAACCATCCTATATTTATCTATGCCTATTCATTTTCGTTTTTAGTTATGAGTATTTATAAGTGTTAAGATAGAGCCGGACAGTCTTCTTGATCGTGTTTTTACGTGAGACTGATACAAATATGACTTCCAGCTCCGCTGATGTTCAGCATATGATGGGCGAAATCTCAGCCCTTCTTCACCCGAAGCGAACGAGGAGGCCTCGTAGAATGCGTCAACTTGAACGTCGTATTAAAGCAAAATGGCTGCAGTACAACGAGATTGATCCGTCGTCGTCTAGTGAGATCAACCTACGAAGCTCTTCTTCAAGCACTTTAATACGGAATGAAAGTCTCCCCAACTATGTTATCTAATGAGATGCATTGAAACTCTCGCCGAGGGTGTGGATATGACGGATGCGAGGTTTAAACTTCAGTCCAGCCTGGATGAGAACAACTTTTGGGAGAGCAAGGCTATGTGAAATTCAATGGAAACGTCAGCTCAACTCATTCACTTGTGGGAAAATTCCTTTTCTACCTTCCTTCATCAGCTTAAACGAAATTGGGTGAATATATCTCATATTACCGATTTACTGATAGTCACGAAAACAATACTTAATTCGAAAAATAAAGTATATTTTTAACTTGGGCTCTATTCTATCAAGTCTTAATAAAAAACATTTCTGCAAACATGTTAAGAAAATCCCAATTTTTGTCTGCAAGCAAAGCATCAAGACTCTTAAGAGTTATATTTTGTCAAAAGCTTAATAAATATATAATTCTCCATTTGGTGTAATATGTTTCGAATCTATCAGTAATTCTTGACCAAAATCTTTGTCACTCTAAATGGCTTAAGGTAAGTTAAGAACCGTACCTTCATAAAGGTTTTCTTGGCCATGATGGATTGTAATTTCGATCTCGCCTAAGCCTCTTTAACACCCAAAACAGGATTCAAGACAAAGTCGTGTACATCGTCGACAATCAAACTATTGCTGCGACTCTGGGCGACTGGGATTTTTGATAAAGTTACATTTGCTCTATGACATCGTGGCACCCGTGGCTGCGAATCTATATGGTTGCACGTTGAAACCCATTTTTGAGCCCTGCTGCTTGTGACGACGAGATCTATACTATTTAGAAACTGCAGGAAGTTTTAAGAAGCATAGCTTAATTAAATTCAATCACATCGTAAGTTCTCCTCAATAGTTGATTGGGAGAATTCCTATTATCAATCCTTAGATGCCTTTAGCAGCCTGGGTTAACCAAAATAAAATTCAGAAAATGATTTCTTTCCCGAAATTAAGTTAAATTTCATACTTCACTTCAATTGGGGATACTGAATTGTGCGGACTTTTTAAATTGAAATTCTCACAATTTTGGACCTGAGCATGTGATAACTTTTTCCTCTATATTTTCCCGTCTATTGGAGTGATAAATAGTCGAGGCTTCCAAGTCGCTAGAGTCGAGACGATGTTAGTCTGGAAAGGGGAGCATAAAAATAGGAGTTATACTCCTTAAGTCACCACGACGCCTGTTGTCTACAGGCTTCTGCGCTCTTTCCACCCAAGCACAGATTTGGCATTAAATAGAATGTCGGTTGGCTCGAATTTCGATTTAAACGAGTTTTCCGTCAGACTTTGGTATCACTACACTTTGGCTGTAGCGCCTTACTTTGAAAGCTATTCAGTTCATGGGATGGTTAAAGCTCTGAAGGATAGAAATGTAAATCGAATGGATGCCAAATGTTTTAATGCTGGAACAAATGCACAATTAACTCTCACAATAGAGGAGCAATGGATGGTATGTGCTGACTTGGTATGAGTTCATTAGACGATGTCATTGGCCACTAATTCCCTGGAACCTCAGGCACCGGGGTTTTGTCATCCAAAGTGTTTGTTATGCCGAAACCGATTGCTGAAATGCCAAGTGCTGTACCCATCAGTAGAAATGACTCGACTGTTGCAGTTTTAATATCAAGTCTGGCCTGCAGCAGGAAGGATGCGGTCCGCATGACTGCAACTGTAAAAAAGAGTAGGAAAGGAAACATTGAAAAACCTTAAAATGTTGCCATTTGTGCCTGTGACGTATCAATATACATTTAAGACCACCAGTCTTGTATACATCAGTCCGATATTTCGAACGAGGGAAGGAAAATTTTAGAATACATCGGAACTTTGATGTTAAATGGTCCTGTTTATCTGTCAATTCCGACCACCTTCTCAATCTGGCTTCGTTATATTTTATATAAAGATCAAGATGTCGCTGGTGGTATCTGGCACACCAAGAGGGAGGGAGGCATAGTAACCATGCCGGTGCGATAATGCCCCACGAAATTTGCCAAAAAGGGAACGACTTATGAGTAGTTGACTCAAAAGTTACGATAGAACAGGACTGAAATAAGAGGACAGGGAGATGTATCAAGACAGACAGAGGATTGATAGTACAAATTTTGGAAACAAAGATGGTAAAGATATTGATTTCACTTGTCTCGTTGACGAGTTCTATATTGGTGTTGAAAA